CAAGAGTACACCCCCCCAACACACACACGCACACTTGCCACTCCCAACAGAGACCTTGTCGTCGTTATCTTTTTCCGTGAACCCCCCCCCCCTGCACTATTGTCCAAAAGCTTGCCCAGTGTATTCCCCTGAAGCGGCAACGGCCGGAGGGCCTGGTCGGCAGGATGGCCGGATCTGACGACATGTACCTAGATTTCGACATCGACGAGACAACGGTGCCGCTAGAGCCTCCCCAGGGGGTCAGCGACGTGCAACTCTACCAGTACTACGTACAACGCATCATGTCCGCGGTGCCCCGGGCGAACTCCCTCAAGGGCCGAACTACGGAGGGGCCCGTTCCTCTCAGGATTTGCCGGTGAGGTATTAGGGGGGGGGGGGTACTCATGTAAACGCATCTACAATGACCTCGCATCCCTACAAAGCCGGGACGGAGCACGCCGGGTTCTCACCGGGCCGGGTTGTCAAGCGCGGAGGGTGTGTGTGCGTGTGTGTGTGTAAAACGCATGCATGCGTCAATAGACCATTGACCTCGCATGCCGGGACGGAGCGATTTGCCGGGTTTTCGCCGGCGCCCAGGCTATGTTTTACAAGGATGAACGAGGGGGGGGTATGGGGGCGCCGTGGGGGAGGGGTAGGTGATGGGATCTCTCTCCGGGGTCAAGTTGAGCTAATGTGTTTTACGCGCTCCTTATTGCACGGAGCCCTCTGGTCTTCTTGCCAAGGGGGCTCCCGGAGTGAATACACGGGTGTGAACTGCTCCAAACCTCAACAAGACCAATATCGAGGGGGCGGGGGAGTGGGGCGTACTCTTATGTTTTGCATGCCTAGGGGGCGGGGGGAGGCACTCATAGCCGTGTATGCCGTAGTCGTTAGACCATTGACCTCCTCGCGAGGTGGGGGGGTAGGAGTGCATCCCTGCATGCGCTCCGGGAGCCCACTTGTCTTTGTACGTTCCCTTGTCTGGTACTGGTTTCCAGATAACGACAAAATATTAGCTTGCTCAGAATGCGCATCGGCACGATCACAGGCTACTTGCTGGTATTTACGCCTCCAGGTTTGACTGCTCTTGTCTGAAGATGAAGAAGCTTGCGTCGACGCGACTAACTCACACCGGGGCTCGTGTTGCATGAACCCTCGCTCTGTATTGCATGACCTTGCTTGATTCCTCTGCCAGGCATGACAGGATCCCGTCCACAACACGAGGCATTAATCCTTGCGTTCCTCCTGACATAAATCGTTGTTGTTGATGATGATAATTTCCTCGCAATGACCCCGGCTATTAGTGAATCGTTCCGAAAGATGTAAGGACCGACGTCCAGGGATAAAAAAAAAATGACAGAAAAAAATGACCCGTCATCACACCAGTTCACATGAAGCGCTGTAGAAGAATGTATAGAGGGTCATGTTTGATCAGTTGATACTGGTATAGAAAAGATGGCCGCCAACACCATGTCGTGGCCCATTCAGGAAGAGTCGTGCAATGCATGCTCACGTTCATTGGTTTTGTTAGCAAATAAACGTGTCCTACTTTTTTGTTTCCCGGTACAGGGTGAAGAATCAACTCGACATCGCCCTTTCGAAGCCATACGGGGATATCCACCTTCTCAAGGAGACCAACCACATCTCCGAGGTACGTTTAACGTTTGCAGCCAGGTTATCGCGTTGGGAGGGATGTTTTTCGTTTCTGTTTATTTTCTCGTTTCGTTGATTTCTAGAAACGTTTGCAATGAGGTTATCGCGTTTGGAGGGATTTTTTTCTTGTCCGTTTAGTTTCTCGTTTCTTTGATTTCTAGAAAAATGTAAAGGGTACCTGTTCTGTATTAAGCATCATAAAGAGTCCTGTCATCGCGTTAAGCATCATTAAAGAGTCCTGTCAGTATTGCGCACCCAACAATATTTTGTGCCCTTGATTTTCGGGCTTGCGCGAGCTTTGGCGTCAACTGATGGCCAGCGGCAGACATCGGGAGAAAACCAGTAAACACACGGCACGCCTGTAGAACAAGCGGACAAAAAAAGTCGGCAGGGAAAGAAGGGCACACCCACGACATTGATAAATAGGAGCACGGACAGACAGGGGGGAGAGATCAAGCCAACTTCAAAAGAGACCAGGCAGGCATCGTGTTATGTAATCAGAATGAGGTTGTGTTTTCCTAGAGGTAGCAGCAGCAGCAGCAGCAGCAATACCAGAGTTCCCGATACGGGAGCGAACGAAACCAAATCTAGGCAAGGGGATGGGTGGGGGGGGGGCTGGTTCGGCCTCTCGAGAACGATCTTGGGCAACGTTAGCCACACGGCTCAGTTTGTGCCCAACGCCACTTCCATCGTGTCATTGTGGTCAACAAGGCGATAGTCTGAAGTTGATTGCTCGCGCATCCTTGTTGCTGCTTTTTTCACTCTACAGACTACCCAAGGGTTGGATGATCACGTTTGCTAAGGCTTGTCGCCCTAGACCCTCCAAACCCTCGAAAGCTAATGTTCAACCAAGCACAGTGGGTTGTCGTACAGGTTGCGCTAGGGGGGTACATAGAGGCGCCCGGGGAGGTGGGTGTCGTTGTTGCTTGCCTTGGTCGCTTTGACCATTGACCTCTCAGCAGCATCATCCCGTACGAACAGACAAGCGCCGCCGGTGGTGTTGCTCCTGCTGGTAGAGGCGATCTTCACACGCCTGTCTGTCTGTTTCTTTCACAGAAAGTTTATCGTTGCTTTTGTTCTCCCCTTCCGGCCGGAGAAAATTCGAGCACTCGTTTCGGATGGGACCTATCAACAGCAGTTAATGGGAGCGGGTTATGGGTCTCCACAATCCTTGCCCCCTTTGGACGAGATGCCCCTTGCTGCACTACTCCGCTGTTATCCCTCAACACCGAGTACTGCTGTTTGTTGCTGGTTTTTGGGACGGATTGACCACGACCCCCCCCCCTCCAGGCGGGAAGCAATATCGATAGAGTAGACAGGATGAGGAAAACGTTTTTGAGCAACCTTTGGCAAAGTAGGAACGAACGATCGGCGATCGGCGATCGGTGTCGTGTCGGAACAGCAGTTCTCCGTCCTCTCGAGGACGCGCGGTCTAACAACTAAGGCATGCAGAACATGAGTACCCCCCCCCCCCCCCCCGACCAACACTCTCTGGGCAAGACACCCGCGGCCGTTCCCCCCTTTTTTTCGGGTGGGGGACCCGGGTCTACCCCCCCACCAATTCCGGGGGCTATGATAAAAAACGGTACAAGCCCCCCCGGCCCCCGGGTTGGAATCCCCCCGAAACTTTGGGAAACCCCTTTG